TCTCTCTCTCTCTCTCTCTCTCTCTCTCTCTCTCTCTCTCTCTCTCTCTCTCTCTCTATCTATCTATCTATCTATCTATCTATCTCTGTCTGGATATTAGAGTAGTAGTCTCTGAGCAGTAAATAATGTTTGATACAAGGAGCATTGGTGGTACACTGTATTGCATACTCTAGTGGTCAGCATACGGTGGAGTTTGGTGTGTTGTGCATGAGTAAGGAGTTGAGTCAGAGCCTGGAGAATCTCGGCGGGGCGCAGACCCTGCCGGGCCGGTTCTCTGTACCGTCCATTTCCGGCATCTACACCAGGCATAAGCGTACCAGGTGAGCCTGAGATTAACAATCGCGAACGACCACGCTTCGATGTCACCCGGGGTTTAAACGGTCGTTGGTAATTCGCACTATATCCTCCATTGTTGAATCTTCGTCTTTTAATTCTTCCTCTATCTCTATCTCTTTCTTTCTCTTTTTGTCTTGAAACGCACAGTTCTGGTGCATTGAACCTTCAGCTTCGTGCTCGAACTCTTCGGCCTAATAGTTCTCTTTTGCGGCAACTTGCGTTTGCCATCCTTGCCTAGCCTCACGACCGTTCCCGATCGCTTATTTCGAAGACTAAACTTTGACTGATATTCGAGCGCATACGACTATTAATTTGCAATAAGAGCTTTTGTAAAGAATCTAGTTTAACTTTAGCAAATCGTTAGCAAATCTGAGAATAAAAAACGATGAAACACAGTAGTCTCGTTTCCGCAGCTCGTCGCCGGACAGTCTGTCTGCGGAACGTGGTGACAACAAGTCGCCGGGTACGAACGCGAGCCCCGCGGCCTTATACAAGCTTACCGTACCTTTGTTAAGATGCGAGGCCGCCGATGTCAGGGATGCCGCGGTTCAGGCTATTGGAAAAGTAAATGCCGACGCTTTAAAGTAAGCACATTTCCATCTGACATATATATTTATTTTACGAAGAATTAAATCACAATTATTTACTTATTACAGAGACTTAATGGAAGAATTGGTTCCTTACATACGAGAAGCAGTCGATCGAAAGCAGGAAAATATGAGACGGCGAAGGAGACGCGACGCTTTAAGACTGCAGCTAGTAAGAGTGTTGGAATTGATAGCCGAGTATGGAACGTTTGGTATCTGGTTAGTTAATACATTAACTTGTCTTCTTCTTTCATACTCATTCAGAGGACTATATTTAATCATTGCAATCTCTTTTTAGTCCGGCGGTATTGGATCGCGAGACGCAGTCTCTGCATCCGACATTTGTCGAGTACATAGACGGTGCACGGATTTATTTAGAGAATGAAACCGATAAGGAAGCGCCTGCCGTGCGAGACATTAAACTACATTTTTGCAACTTCGTCAGAAAGATGATCAAGAGTTTCTCGTGTAAGTAGTTTTAATAAAATAATCCTAGATATGTCAAAGCAAGAATAATATATATAATGTTTAAATAAATTATTAATTTCTTTCTCTTTCTCAGTGGAAACGTGTTACACCTTGTTGAAGAGGGATCTAAGAAGAAACCTATTCATGCTATTCGCTAGCTGGGCTGGTGTTTACGGTCGACCGCTTACGAGCACGTCGTCCTTGCAAGAAGAGGAGAAATCCTGCACGGAACTGCAACTCTCAGCACTGCAAGCCATGAGCGGATTGTTGTGTTGCGGTTCATGTTTCAATCCACAGTCGCTTTCGGAGGAAGGCGCGATTTTATATCAATGGTTGGACTTGCTGTTAGCCAGTAAAGACGAAAAGGTAGGTTTTGTTGAACAATTTCCTTCATACAAGATTCCATTATTACTTCAGCCTGTTCTACAATATTATATTATTTTATAATTAATATAACACGCATGGAATATACATCGATAATTCAAACATTGAGATTTGGATTCTATTTTACGCATTCTACATAATTTTGTAACTCTTGTTTCAGATTTATACGCTCGCACGCGAAACAGTTGTATTGCTGCTCGAGGGAAATCCTGACATCGGTACACTTCTAGATTGGGTGGTAGATCGATGTTACACTGGCGCACCACAAGTGGCCGATGGTTGCTTCCTTGCTTTGGCAACGATCTTTAGCGCCAGGTTCGCACAAATCCAAACATTCAAGTCCCGGATTGAAGTGTACATATATATAACATATGAAAGTGTTTATTATAAATAAGAAAATGTTATATTCTATGTATATACAGCAAATATAGAGACTACGAGACACATATTTCTACATTGATAGAGTCGCTGTACTAATTGTAATATAATAACAGAACTCGTCAATAGTAATTTTAAGTATGTGATTTATCATTCTGTTTCCAGGGAATATCCTTGCGACCATTACACGAGCGTCATCAACGTGACATTGATGAACACAGGATGTCCGCGCGCTCCGGTCCACGACGCGGCTCTTCAACTTCTTCAGCTGCTGGATCAACGCTTCTTTGGCAACGTAGGTCCACTTCCAGCTACGGAACTCGAGGCTGGTAAGCTTTTAATTTTTTTCTCATATTTCACTATTGTATTGCATTGTACATCGCATCATACATTTATGATTGTCTACTTTTATCTTGCGTTTATCCAGCTGCTTACAATGAGCTTAATGTTTCTGCGTATCACAGTCTTTCACCTATTGGGAGATTCTGCATTTCTTGAAGATTTTTGCTTTGCGCATTGTCAACAGACGTCCGCTTTGTCGAACTCCATTTGTACGTGAAATTGGAAACTGCAAAGAAACATAAAGCTCTATCTCAAACAGTTTGCTTGATTTTCAATGTAGAAATCGCGTAGAGAAAAGACCAAGAAACGTCTTGCTCAATCGAATACTTTTATTCGCACACTTGGTCATGATATATTGTTACAATCTAATAGCCAAATATTTACCATACTGTTTCCCTTGACTCGCCATTTGTATGAAGGTTCCATTTCTCCCAGCACGTGGTCGATGTATAAACATGCGGACCATTTCCTTGCGGAAATTCTGCCCACTCGCGCAGTAAAGTATAAAGTTAATCCCGAAACTTGTGTTGAATAATACGTTACACATGTGTTGCACACTGACTACCCACGATGCTTTGTGCTGAGAATTTATAATAAAATAATTATTGATATTGTGGAACAATCATTAAATTGAAACATACATTACACAACTTGTCATAAATATCTATAATTTCATATAATATGCAAGTCGCGTTAAGTGAAATTCGCAACGTTTAGAGGAAGAAATCTCTACTGATCTAAAATCAAACATTGAGTGTCGATACGTACGTAGAAAGCGAACACCCTCAGCACAAACGAAGGCATATTGAGACATAGAAAAGCGCTCGAGACGAAGAGCAGCATTTTCGTGATCTTCGTCTGCGGCATTCTCTCTCGTGCAGCGCGCGCGTCCCTTTCATTGGAAGCGTCAGATTCTATGGTCAAGGTTCTTCGTATATGATAGAGCTTGTAGATGTTGCGTGCTATCAAGGTGTTGAAGATCACTATCATGGTCAGAGGCAAGGCGAACGTCAAGACGGTGTCGATACCGTTGTAGATACTCGCCCAAGTCTCCCAACCAATAGCCAAGGAACAGATGGTATAGTTTCCGGTTGGTACCTCACGAAGCCCAGAGAACCAGAGCACTGGGCTGCACAATAGAATTGCCAAGATCGTTAAGCAGAGTATCACGATCTTCGCTCGGGCGACCGTGCACAGAGACTGACGTTGAAGTGGATACTTGACCGCCACGTAGCGCTCGACGGTGAAGGCCACCACGAGCCACACGCTGAGGAAACTGCAGAGAGTACTGAAGTAAATGGAGAACTGGCAGAAGCCCGACATGTTGAATAGATGCACGCGAATCATGCTAAGCCAGTATATGAAGATCATCACCAGGAAGCCACTGTCGCTGATTGCCAATGCGCCCAAGTAAATGCTGGAAGACGCGCGTCGTAGCTTCGTGCCGAAGAACACACATACAGACAGACAGTTGCCCAACAGGCCCAGGTGGACAAGAATTGGCGTGTAATACAATTCGACATTTTGCAAGAGCACGTTGACCGTGCTTGCATTCTCGAATGTCATTTTTTCACGTGCTGCTTTGGAAGTGCTCACAGACAACGTCGATCAAGTGAAAATCAGAAGATGTTAGCATTGCATCGTGCGTCGTTGAAAGCATAACAACTTGCGTCACGCATGATGACCTGAAAGAGCATTAGTGTGGTCTATATAGGGAGATAGAAAGAGTATTTCAAACGTCGTGCGCTTCCTGCGTCAAGATTAGGACTGAATTTATAAGCTGTAGACAAGTGGCGATCGTCATGGCCTTGAAAGCGCCAAGCAATTGCAAAATCGTTTGATGTTTAAAAGAGGATTTGATTTAGAAAAAAATATGTTCTTACAAATTTTTTCGAAGAAATGGATAAATATATCGATCTGGGATTCTGGCCAATCTACTTATCATTGTTTTAAATATAGAAAAATTATTAAAAAAAAAAAAGATTGAAATTTCGTTTAATTATGTAAATTTGCTGGAGAATAAATTTTTGTTATGTGCACAAAGTCGAAATTTAATAAAATAACGGCACTTTAAAGTTGCAAATTATTTTTTCTCTATCGTTTTTATTTAGTATCTCGGGAAAAAAAAATTTCCAAAGAATTTAAATTCATTCTTCATGATAAATAATATGGTTAAAAATCTATACTGATATCTTCATTTATTTGTTTGAAAATATAAGAAATTCGTAAAAATCTTCTATTTTTTTGATTACTTAAACTAGAATCTCCCCTTAAAGCCAGATTCACTTTCGTGATTATACTGTCAGTCAATCCGTGGGTTCGCCGTATACTCATTAATTATTTTATCGAAACTCAATCGCGCAGATACTTCTTATCGCGTATCATAAAATACAGTATCTGCAGTTACCAGATGGGGAAAAATGTGCAGGGAAGCTTGGCGCTTATCAGACACATACGGAAATCCTTTACGCGAAAGATATGTTGACAAATTATTAGCAAACGCATTATTATGCAACTGTTGATTTTAGATTATCGTAAATTACATGAAAATACTGTACGTGTGCGTATGCACATTCGTAAAGTTACATTGTTATTATTACTGAACGCAAGCACAAAGCGTTCGTCGTTCAATAAGCATATCGCATTTCCATCATATTGCATTTTAGCTCGTTAGGATTGTGAGCTATTTCCCAGCGTGACGATAATTAAATGGGAAAAATATCCTTATCTGCGCTGCTACACTTTAATGTGGGAAGTCTGATTCCCAATATCATACATTTTTACGTTTGATATTCTTTATAAACATAATGCGTAAGTTCTAAAGAGAAAGTTCTGAAAGAGATCCCCGTTTTTTCTCCGCATGAAGTGTACAATTCCAATTAGTCGCAAAAAGATTTATCAAATGCCTTTTGTACATTCGCACACACGGACGATTGATCTGTACTTTTTTATTGGATTTTATACGACAAACGAACACGGTTTATTTGAGAGACCGCGGATGTGAGTAGTATTGAATTACAATCCAGATTTTACGCGATTTTATGACACAGTTCTGAGAGCCCCTTTTAACTTCTTCAAACATACTCAAACGTTTTAATATACATGTCTCATGCATTAGGGTTACACATGTTCTCGGAAATACACGAAGAATCTTCGCGATGCGTGATATGTTCGGTGCACTAATGCTGTTCAATTAATTTGTTTTTTCACTTGCAATACACTCGCGACACTTTATTTTGATAGAACGATTTGTATCATCTTACCGAATCTTATAGAGTGTTATTTTATTAATAGAAACGAATGCAAATTATGTTTTATTTTCATTATTGATAGCAGCAGCTGCGATGCGTTTTTTTGTTTTTAAAAATAAGTTTTAAAAATGTTTTTTTTTTATTTAGCCTTAAGTTCTTGATAATGAGGATAATTTGATTTTAGTACTTAGGACAAATTCCGAGCACTGACGTTACACTTTTTACGAATATATCCGGATGCCGTCTCGGCTATTTCTGCTAGGTGGCTCGACGAACCATTCTTGATAAAGCTCATAGTGCATCCCGCATTCTGGCTTCTGCGCATCATAGCAATACAAATTCCCGCCTATTCACGCGAAACTCGCGGCGCATGTCAATATATCGTCTCACGAGAAAGATTTGCTACATTGATTTACACTGTATTAGTATAAATCCTAGACACAAGCGACTATTAGTGCTTGTTAAAACATTAATATTAATTTAAGACATATAATGAAAAAACTCCACTTACACATGAAAAACTTTAATGAAAGAACGCATGTGTAACAATAATCGCAGTTATAAACTCGGCAACTGCATGCAAAATTGCTTTTATTACGCTACGCCATGAGTTAATAGGACTTGAAATTAATGATCTTCTCGTAATTATCGCATTACCATTAGGATATTATATGCAATTACTTAGCTCATATTCGCAGTCTCCAAACTTTAATTAGATAAAATCTTTGGCAAAATTAAATTCACTTTGCTATATTATTGCCGTATCGTTTGAATACAAACATACTATTTCCAGAGATGGGTGTAGGTGGCATTTAACTTTATGAATGGAAATATACTATTTCCAAAGATAGGTATGGGTGGCATTTTACTTTATGAAAAGGATAATTACGTACTCTATATGTTCTTTTATATATTGCATGCTGACCTTTATTTGCAAAATATTCCGTAAAATATCTTTATTTGCAAAATATTTGGTATAATATCTGCATTTTGCCAATAAATATTATAGGAAATAAGGGCGATATTAAATGAAAGTTCCGTGGTTTTCGTATGTGATTATTCTAGTAGAAAATTAATGCAGTTTTCGAGCAGTTATTAAAAAGTTATGTTAACTTTTTTCTAGTAAATAAACAGTGAAGAAACTACTTGAGATTCCAATCGATATGTAACGCTTTTATTGCGCACGAAAAATTCGCAAAATTAATACACAGCAAAAATAGAAAATCTCAGAAACAGATTCTTACAGTAAGTGTAAGAAGGAAACTTCAATAGATTAATAATAGAATCTACTGCTCATAATATAGGTAGATTTGCCTTAGTGATATTTTATTCTTTGCAGGTACTCTTTCTAATTGAAAAAGTTTAATGCTGCTGAGAATCGTATAATACAGGAAATCTTTCACTCTTAGTGTATATTTTCATATTGTTCGTCTTTTATATGACATCTTTCACAATTATTAAATGTGACGTATGTCTTTTTATCTATTTTTGTAGTTATACTATTTTATCAGGTTCTGAATCTGAGCTATCAGGACAATTGTTATTTTTATCATTATCATCAAAATAGCTTGGTATGTTCTTGCAATGAGCAATTGCACTGTAACATGAAATTGCAATAAAAAATTCTGCATTATTAACATATATCCCATTTGTCTTTTACTCACTTTCATTTCATGGCTGTGTAATCTCTACTATAGGACTTAATATTGACAAATGCTTTATTTTCTTTAATTTTCTTTTTTTGCTCTATATTATTTTTCTGTTCACATGTTCACTCACTGTTTAGGAAATTTTGAGCTTTTTTTAACAATATAAAAAAATATATTTTAAATATTTTTTTTAACAATATAAAAAGATATATTTTAAATTTATTCACAATAGAAATGATAATACGTGTACATTATAAAGCTAAAAGTGAAAAATGTGAAAAATTAATGTTAAGAAGATCATTTGTTTTCGTCAAAGAATCGCAATAAGATTTTAAAGCAAACTTGGTCAATTAATAAAATATTTAACTTCCTCGTTGTTCCAATAACGTAATTTATAACTTTATCTATGTTTCCTCGATTGCAGGACATAATGATCCGCTTGCAAGTTCTACCGCTACCGTAACGTCCGGCCCGGGCCAACAAGGCAATCCCGCAGGCGAAATTTCTTCAGGCGGCACAATTAGAGGCGGTACACTAGATGTACTTCTATCGACCACCTATTGCCGTAGTCAAATGTATCTTTCACGTCAATTGGCGCAGCTACATCCGGAGCTCACAATGCCAATGTTCAGTGGTAAGTGTATCTTGTGATTTTTCCTTTCATTTCCAGTTTTGGTTCCGAAGGCTATATTTTTTTGCAAAAACTTAGTGTGATAATTCTCGGAAAATTATCGCTCGAAAAAGAGAGATCAGGTCGAATTAAATATCGAAAATAAAGCTTGTTCTTTTTCTCTGTGCTTTTGAGAACTCTGTGGAAATTGTGAGTCAATGAGAACTTGATATATTATTTGCAACATTTAGTAAGACATTGTTTATTTTATTTTATTTTAATTATTTTAATTTATTCTTGATATATATATATCGATGTGATTGTGTTTATTCTTTATACGAATATTGGTGTTTTTATTCGTTAACTGGCAGTAAAAAGACAAAATGTAATCGAAACGCGCGCGCGCGTTGGTATTTTTTTATGAATGTGTATCTTAGAGATACCACTTTTCTCTGGCAATTTACCTTAGTACCACGTATTAACACATATAATTAGCACGTATAATTTATTCGATATGGTATCCAAGGTCCTTTAATATTACTCTCTTTTATATGCAAAGTTAGAGATAAAATATTGCAATGTTCTATATTGTTGGAATGCATTGTAAGAATTAGAAATCTGTATTGTAGAAATTTTAGTAGAAATTTAAATCTGTATTGTAGAAATTTTTATAGAAATTTAAATGATAAAACTTTAGACAGATAATATTCTCGTAAATATTTGTGTCAGTTTTATACCAAACACGAATTTTTTTTTTATTAAAAATACTATTTGAAGAAAAACTGTATGTTGTATGACTCTTATAGTGCTAATATTGTCGCGTTTAACATGTTTTACTTTAAATTAACTCGATATATGATAAAGTATAATTAATGACTTTCTGGTATACTTGAATACACGTGGACGGACTTTAGATGCTATAGAGAATCATCCCCGCACGATTAAGAGCTATTTACTCCCACAATTGAAGTTTCGCCTTTGTGATTAAATTCCCGAAATGTATTATGATTATTATGGGGAATTTAATGAATAGCGAAATTAATATCAAATATGTTTTATAATGATGCAATGTGAGATATTAGAACGTGTTGAATGTAAATAATTAAAAATCTTTTATTGAAAGAACAAATTATGACTCTTCTCTCTCTCTCTCTCTCTCTCTCTCTCTCTCTCTCTCT